GATCAACCTCCTAATTTAATTTGGAGAAAGTTTCTTAATCTAAATCTGATATTTGGATCTAGACTCTTGAATGGATAAGAATTATCTTATCCTTCAGCTAATCCAAATCAGATTATAAATCCTATATTGACTCCTTTTAATTAATTAACTTAAGCCTAGTTCGAATTGGGCTTTAGGCCTATTAAGCTTACGTGTTCACTTAACCTCTTAACCCGCTGCCCAGTTGGCTCTCTTTGTATGGCGTGGGACCCAAACATTGATCTACACATCACCCACATGGGTTCAACCCAACCTTTGTTACAAGGCCTGGCCAAATTCACTATAACAGATAGTAAACCMCTGAGTCCATCATCATGGGCTCTTAATGGGCCCAACATTTACACTAAATGGTCATTGGGTCCAGCCACCTTATGAAAACCCAAGGACTGTGGGCAGATGCAAGATTAGCCCATCAGGTATTATCCTCAATGGTCTTACACTTAACCTCTCAACCTATAATGATCAAACACTGTCCGATAAGAGAATTTCTCCATCGGCTGCAAGGAACAATGATGCACTCTCTATTCACATGGATCCCGGGAATTAAAACCTTTTGCAAACATTTTAAAACTGTAGTATATATTTATATCTCTATATAGATATATTTTGCAAAAAACAAATTTCAACGTTTGAAATCAATTGTCGACAGTTTAGGTTTACATCAGAGAGAGTGCAGTACTTGATCATTCACTTTGTCCGACAAAGGRGTTGATCCTATCACTATGATCACCCACTTAGATGAATTCTCGGACTGTCCCAACATACCCAATTTTCGACCCCCTTTAAAGATCTCACTGATTGGCATATCAAAGACAGCCTGATCCGACACCTAGTGTAGTACCATAATCAAGTGTAGGGGTGAGGTGTAACTTTCCAGTTTTGCCCATCTATCTCAAAGGTCTAGGGCGATACTGGAATTTGGTCTGGTTCAGGGTTTCAAGAAAACCCACACTGCATGTACCTCAGATCTCACCCTGGTAGCTGAGAAAAGACACACCAACCAACTTGGCGGCACACYAGTGTCAGCCTTGGTAGGATAAATCTCCCTAGATCTATCCAATGGCTGTGAAGATTCTAAACTAACACGAGTCTCATAAATGTCCAGTTTAATGGTATTACCTAGAAACACACCACAATGACATGAATTAGTTATGTACTTTATTCATTTACAATAAATGTCAAAAGATACATCAATCTGATTGGAGTTAAGGGCATAATTGTCCAACACAGGCCCAAGCCTATATCAAGTGCGCAAATTTTAGGGTTAGGCTTGGGCTTAATATTTCAAGCCTAGCCTGACCCCCCCCCACAGACAAATATATATATATATATATATATATATATATACCTACACATTTTGTGTATAATGTATAATATTATTTTACATTATATTATATATTTTATATATAAACATTATAACATGACATGTATAATTTATATTATATATAATATTTTATCTTATATAATGTATAAAATAAATTTATATGTATGTTATATTATTTAATATATAGATATATAATATTTTATATACGAGTGACATTTGCATGGAATTAGGCCCGAGCCAATATAGACATGAGCTAGAGCTTATAGTTCAGGCCCGAAACCCTAGGCCAAGAAGCTATGCCTGGGCCTAACCTATAGCCCTTATTATAAGTGCAAAGCCTGACCCGGGCCCGGCCCATGATTACCCCTAATGAAGACTCCATATAAACTTATTTACGCAATAGCAATGCCCCACTTGCTCCAAAAAATCTCGTTACGCAATAGCAATTCCAGCAACTAYTATAGTGTGTGCCACTCCTTGCTCATCTATTGGACAACCAGCAACAACCAATGGGGGGCCATTATGAAAACGGCCAACCTACAGACGCTCAAGCACACCAAGGCAAGAGATCTACCGATACAACCCTGAGCCAACATTTAGGAGGCAATACCACTCCCATGCTCACACCGGGCACCATGTTGACTGCATCGCCTCCAATTCACACGGATGTGCTAGTGAACATCGGGAGCAGTGTAGTCCCACACAATAGAATGGAGTTGATTGTCTTCCTGCTACATCTCCCCAAGTCTCAGAACTCCCTGAGCATTTGGATAACTGTCGAGCCAATGGATGCACATTCTAGCTGATTCGGGACACTCCCAAAACCACCAGGAAATTTTTCACATGAGGTAACATTCCAGATCGAGGCCCATCTTAATTTTGTTGACATTAGAATTTTTTCACTAGCAAAGTAAATGAAAATACAAATATTTTTTCACTACCAAAATTAATTTTGTTAACATGGAATTTTCAGGTAATAATTATCAATTTTATATAGTAATAATATATAACTAATTTTATATAATAATAATAAATTTATTTTTAAATGTTGCAAATTATTAAGTATCTCACACATGTGATTTGTAACATTTCAGATTTTCAAAATTACCCATTTGATGGAGGCATTGTTCATTATCTTCTTCATTGAAACTAAACCAGAGCAATGATGATAAGTTTGAAATCCTCTCATAAAACTGACCTATCTCTCTCCCTATTTGTTACATTTTTCACTTTTTTGTTGTTTGGTCTCTCATTATCGATTCTTCTCAATGGCACCGAGTCTCAAAGACCTTCAGCTTATGGTAGCAATCCTGTTGGAAGATTTGTTTATAGAAGAAAGGTGTAAGACGATGAGATTACATTCATTTGATTTTTATTTCATGACGAGAATAAGTGGAAAGAGACGGATAGAAATAAAGAAGCGAGGAGAGGAAGCTTAGCGGCGACGAATGGATTGTCAAGACTCAAGAAGGAAGGAGTAGCAAATACGAGGGATTCGTCTTGTTCGCAATTCTTAGATTTGTCTTTGGCACTTGATGAGGGTGGATTTGGCCCTCCAATGATATTGTGACATATGGCACCTCGGAACAAATAGGTGATACCCAGAACTACTTTGGTAACAACTTGCCTTAACTAAGTTGATGGTGTCCCACCTGGCGCCTGGCCCAGGCGCGAACTGGCGGCCTGGCCCAATCGCGACATGGCGGCCTGGCACAAGCGCCGACCTGGCGGCCTGGCCCAGGCGCGACCTGGCACAGGCACCAAACCGGCGGCCTGGCACAGGCGCCAACCTGGCGACCTGCGAGACGTGCTCGCCAACAAATTCGGCATGCATATCCAAACACTCCCACGATCCTTGGAAGTTGGCCCATGTGACGAACGATCCGGAGGGTGGTCAACGTGCATGGCGGTTACCTTAGGGAATCTCGAACCACTTAGACGACTTCTCGGAAATCTCGGATGCGGTGCGTGAAGCCCACGCCAAACAATGCCTATATAAAGGCACCAACCCCAATGACATGAGGGGGCAAGTAAGCATATTATAACTCTCATACTTTGTGATTTTTAACTCGCGGTCTATTATGAGAGTATTGACTTAAGCAACGGAGCGACCTCGCCGGGCTAGCTACCTCGGGTCCTCTGACATTGATTCCTTGCAGGTCTCTAAAGAACTACGAAACTCGACAATCAATCCAGCTCGCCACCAGACAACTCGGCAACTAATAGGCGGCTCGGCCCTCTAGTCAACTCAGCACCTAATAGGCAGACTGGCACTCTGGTCAGCTCATCACCTCACCTGCCTAGCTCGGTCTAGTCATCTCGTCACCTAACCTGCCTAGCTCGGCCCAGTCAGTTTGGCACCTAACCTGCCCAACTCGACCCAGTTAACTCGGCACCTAATCTGCCCCTAGCTTGGCCTGGTCAGCTCGGCATCCAGGTCCTCATCTAGCAAAAGTTCACTTCGGCCTCTAAGTCATCGACCACTTGGAAGCAGACCAAATGACGAGGTACTTAGCACAAAAAATTGATACTTAGCCCAAAAAATTGATTCATCAACACTACTTCTCACAAATGTTATTCATTTTTGTATGAGATATTGACGTTGTTTTCTTTACTTTGTTGATTATACAAATGATGATGGGTCGATGGAATTGCAGGAAACAATACTAGATCAAGTGGATAAGAAAGATAGAGATCAGGATCGATCGAGTTAGAACAAGATAAGAAGGGGAGATAGATTAATGTATGAGAGTAATCAGGAAGAATGTAGATAAGAAAGTACCGAAGAAAGTGTTGACGATGATGAGGACAAAGATGTCGGTGCCATTTGGATGCTTCCCCCGAATCCTCTATTGTCATACTTGTTGACTCATCATCATCATTGAAAGAGCTTTCCACCTGCTAAGGTGGCCCCAATGTATTGGCTCAGCTCGACAAGGTAGTACAAGGCTCGAGTTCGATTCGAGTTAGAACCTTGAGTTCAAGTTTGATTTGAGAAAAAAAATGTTTAATAAAAATAAAAAATTATATATATTTAAAAAATTAAGAATTATAATATTTTATTATATATATATATATATTCGAATTTGACTCACGAACTTCACAAGCTAAGCTTTATTAGGCTTGAAGCTTAGTTGAAACCGAGATGAATCGAGCTCAAATAACTCATGAAGAGCTCGGCTCATAGCCACCCCCACGGACGTGGATGGTCCCTGATGATATGTCGGTACCGAGAAAAGCTCAGTCACGTAAAGAAAGGGATGATGAGTTGGAGCTTACAAGAAGATTAGGGAATATAATAGAAAAAAATGACAAAAAAGGTAAAATATTCCCTATAAATAAAAAAATAACAAAAAATTAGAAACTTGGTTTTTTGATCAGATGATAAAATAATAGAAAATTTCATTAAAATTAACATTTTTTAATTTATTAAAGGTAATGTTTATTGAGAAAACATTAAAAATTAAAAAAAAGTATTAAAATGTATAAAAAGGAAAAAATAAAATACGCAATTAATTTATTAATTAAAGGAAAAATTTCCAATAGGTACTCTTTACTTTACGCTGAATGCCAATTTAGCACTCGTACTTTAAATTGCGAAAATCTACACAAATTGAAGACAATTTGATATCCGGCGTTAAATTTCCGTTAATTAAAAGATAAAAAGTCCTAAATACCCCCAGTTATTTTGWTTACCGATTAAAATTACGAAAATAACTCTATCATCTATTTCCACCAATGCAAGTGGTAACCATGCTGATACTTGCATTTACAGAGAATCCGAAAACCTGCTCCCTCATGCCGGTGGTGTCAGGCGAATGCGCCACCGGAGAAGAGGACTTCCGGAGCCGAAGAGACAACCAGGGCCAACTGGGTAAAACGTTGACGCCATCTTTTATTTCTTCTTCCTCTTCCTCCAGCTCTCTATGTTTCGCTTTTAACAACAACCGCCGCTGCAACTTCGGGCAGCGGCGGTTTCTCCGCCCGCCCGCGCTTCCTCTCTTTCTTCTTTACACTTCTCCTTCTTTCTTCTTCTTCTTGGAAAACCACCCTGATTCGCCGTTTTTTCCCTGCGAACGAATAGACGCGACGGCGGCGTTTCATCACCGCTGCAACCTACAACTTGTCACGGCAGTGCGGGGACCTGAAATCGGTTGGGACCGGAGCCAGAAATGATGCCTTAGCAGATCCGGATCGGGGACCTAAAATCGGTTTTGCCTCCTGCTGCCGTGCGGTCCGATGTATACGTCGGATCTGTGTGTTCACTCTCCCCTTCTCCTAGTGCTCTTCCGTTACCAAATTTTTCGAAGAAAAAAGACGGCCCTGCGATCGTCGACGATTCGGCAACAAAAGATCTGAGGCGTCTGCTTCGACTTGACCAATTAAATTATTCTCACAGGATTAAACAGGTATTTAGATCTGGACCTGACTCTAAGTTCGAGATATGGATCAAGATCAAGATACTCCTCTTTCTCCGTTTCGTTTCGATCTCGTCTCTCATGTTCTTCAGATCTGTGACTTCTCGTGCTTTCTCGTTAGTTCTAAACCAACAAATAAGTGATATTGACGAAACGTGCAAAACATAAATGGGGCTTGACTGGATACCATGTGAAATGAAATTATTATGCTCCATTAAACTTTGGGTAGCATTAAGCTTGAGAACTGGCCAAGAAATGATGAGATATCAAGATCGAACGCGCTGGGAGAAGGAATTTTCGGCTATGGACGCCATTATGTATGGAATTTTGAAGAAGACGGAAATTTTTTCCCAATCGTCATGAAGAAGACAGAAATTTTGAACTTGTCTCTCACGATTTTTCGACTTCGGGCAATAAAGACGAGAAACAGGAGTCGTCCTCCGGCAATGGTACTGGATTCTTTGACTTCAATTTTTCCGGCATTGTGTACGATCGTCAAAATCAACTTTTCCGTGGCACATTCCCTTGACACCACCGGCGTGAGGGAGTTAGTTTTCGGATTCTTGTAAATGCAAGTATGAATAGTGATTCTCACTTGCCTTAGTCGAAATAGATGATGGGTTATTTTTATAATTTTAATCGGTAATCGGAATATTTGAGGGTATTTAGGACTTTTTATCTTTTAACCAATGGAAATTTAACACTGGTTATTAAATTGTCGCAAATTAAAAGTTCGGATATTAGATTATAGTGATTTAAGGTACAATTACTAAATTGGCACTCAGCCTAAAGTAAATGGTAACTATTGGGAATTTTCTATGTTAAATAAATTTTCTTTATTAACATACTTTAAAATTAGTAAGGTTTATTTTATAAAAAAAAGTTAAATATTTGATACAAAATTAAGATAATTAAAAACAATAAAAAAATTGTTAACAAACTTAGTGAAACTTATTTTATTAGTTAAAATTGATATAAACTAATAAAACCATATTTTAATTAAAATCAATTTATTATTTATACTTAATAAAAAAAAGTAGCTCTACTTCTCCCTAATCCCTTTTTGATTAATATAATAGAATTCCATGATAAATTTCCAAACTAATAAATGTCAAAAAACAATGTAAATTACCCATAATTAGTTATGAAAACCGTTAACCTTTTTACTCTAAAATGATAAATTAATAATTGCTAATAATTACTTATTACCAATTTTTACTGAATAGTAAATTATCTATTATAGTCGATTGGTTCCTTCTTATCAATCAATTGATATCATTTAAAACTCAATCAGTTTGGATTAATCAACCATACATTTTGGGTAGTTGATAAATTTCAAACAGGGCATTTTTATGCTTCAACCATCACAGGCAATCGGTTATGCTTGTTGGGGTAGTCAATTACTCAATTATGTCATAGTCATGGCATTTTATGTCTCCACTATGAGAGTTAGACAACTATACCTTTTGGGGGTATTAAATTATGTCTCACGGTGAGGCAATTCTTATGTAATAGTTAATCGATTATACATTTATGAGTAGTCGACTATACTATAATCTTAACAATGTTGCTTAATAAATAGCCCAACACTTAGAATTTGAAGTTCACATTCAAATGTTTGATATCTTTTTTCATTGGATTTCATATTAGATTTTTCTCCCGTTTATAATAATTTGTTTAAGTACAAGAAAGCCCAAGAACCAAATCTACTTTAGCCATTGGTCTTGTTGAGCATCAAGATAGTGCATTTTATGCAACTAATTGTTGTAGCCTATGACCCTTGAGTAGCTCAAAATACCATTTAAATTATTTAGTATCCTTATTAGGATTAAATTATTTGGGGCTTCCTCAATGGGGAGACTTGATGATGGTGTTGAGAATATGGGGCTTGTGCAATCTGACTTGGCAAATCTTTCATTTCTTCATATTGGGTAGAAATATTGCTTAGTACAATATTGGCTTGGATAAATTTACTAAATCTTATTGCATACTTAAACACACCATAGTACTCTAAATAAATTTGTTATCATCAAGACAAATAAGTACAACAACATCCTTATAGCAAGAAGACGGGTTAATAAAATATAAATTTTTAGTTGCCAATTTGAACATATTTTGAATGATCTAGATTGGTTCGCCGATTCTGCTACATAGAGTTTTAGGAAACATGTCTTCAAATAAATATTAGAAATACTATTAGTTCCAATATTAATTAACATGTTTCTTATTAAAAAACACAATTTAAATGTTAATTAAACTTCGAATAAAAAATCCTTTTATATTTAAAGAAAAAGTTAAAACACCATTTTTTTTACAAACCATGTGAAAATTTCATTGCTAATTATATATATATATATATTTTGTGAATGTGAATTGTCTAATTTATCTTATAGCTTTAATGGATTAGGTTGTTTCCTCGACTTTGTCAGTTCCCATGAGTACTAGAAAGCATACAAATAAATGAACCAGGGGWTCAAAAGCATTGCACGTCATATTTGAACACCTAAAACCATCAGACCTATTAGCTTCAATTATTAGTTCATAATGAATCGGATTGATCTGGTTTGTTTGGTTCGACTGAATTATGTAATCTTGAAAATAAAAGAACAAATAAGGTAAAATTTCACTAAAAATAAATTTATTAACTATAAATATGAAAAATCAGAAAAGTAAGGGAAAATGATAGAAAATATTGACAGCAGGGGAAAATATTCCCTATAAATAAAAAATAACAAAAAATTAGAAACATAATTTTTTTAATCAGCTGATAAAATAATAGAAAATTTCACTAAAAATAACAAAAGTTTTTTTTATTTATTAAAAGTAATGTTTATTGAGAAAACATTAAAAACAAAAAAGTATAAAAAATGTATAGACAATGAAAAATTAAAATAAGCAATACACAACTAACTTATTAATTAAACTACTTTAAATAAACTTGCTTTATTAACTTACTCTAAAATAAGTAAAATTTTTTGTATAATAAAATAAAAGTTAAATATTCTATACAAAATTAGTATAATTAAAAACAATAAAAATTTGTTAACAAACTTAGCAAAACTTGTTGTATTAGTTAAAATTGATATAAACTAATAAAACCATGTTTTAATTAAAATAATTTTTAATTTATACTAATAAAAAAGAAACTCTCCCTCTCCCTAATCCCTTTTTTATTTTTTTAATTTATTAGAAATACATGACCCAAGAATAATGGTCAGATGGATAGGGTTCAACTTGGCCCAATTAAAAAGGTCATAAGACTCTTGTCAATATGTCACTTAACAAAGGTTTTGCATTGCATTTAAGAGTAATAAAATTAATATGATGTAATAAAAATAGTAAAATTTAAGATAAGCTATAGAAATTAATAGAAATTGATCTAATGTTGATGTTCATGCCTACGCCTACAAGGGAGTAAATTGGAATATCTGGAGTCCTAACTCATAATGACCTGTAAACACAAAAATTGTAAGAGATTCTACAATGCTCAAGTCATACGAGGAAGAGGAAGTGATCGGTGGAGATTATGGAAGCGTAATTGTGAAATGAAATGGCCCTTACCTTAGGTTGAAGAATTCGGATTCAGTTCTCACAAGACCGTGCTAATATCATCTCACAATTACTTGTAATCTTGTATTTGAGACATCTCCATATATAGTATGTTTTTGTTCATAGAGAGATATTCCTAATACATAACTGCAAAGTGGTTGAAAGTATGGTATAAACACGGTCTTGTGAATTTATAGGTTGAATGCCTTTATCTAAAGCATGGTTTTTAAAATCGGACCAGACCGGACGAATGGACCGGAAAAACAGGGAACCAGTCAATTTTGTTTTTTCCAAAAATTGGATTTTTCCCCTAAACCGTTGACTTTGGTCAGTGAACCGCTGAACCGGGCAGTTAACTGTTCGAACCGTTTTGACCGTTTTTTATTTTTTATTTTTTGTCAGAATGGGCCAAACATTCGGTTCAAACGGTTGGACCATTCGACCCGGTAACTAGACCCCTGACTGATTCGGTCTCCGGGTCAGTTTTAAAAATCATGATCTAAAAGTGCAAGTCTTGGCCGAATGGTCCAGTTACCTCCATGTCAGAGGTGACGTGTGACCCCTTATTGATTCGGTCTCCGGGTTGGTTATAGATTTTTCATTTGGGGTTTTAACTATTCAATCCACCCCTTGCTACTTGCTAGGGCCACACGTCACCTCCATGTCAGAGGATAGGATGATGCCGTATCAAGTATACTAGCGGGGGCAAATTTTAAAAATGCCATTTCGAGATACATTTTTTTATGCCTATTTGGAGAGATACCATGGTTTTAAAAAAGACCAGGAAACGGAATCGTTATGGCCACCAGTTTCCAAGTCGAGGATTTGACCCTCCAGTTTGAACGGATGGCTTGTTTCGACAAAAAAATAAAAAATAATTAAATATAAAAACTGGCTAAAAATAGTTGAATGGGTTGACGGTTCGACCGCCCAAGTCAATGGGTCATTGACTGATTCAATGGTTTTTGGCCAAGGACCGGGTTTGGGGTAAAATAGAACCGATTGCTTGAACGGTTCCTGGGCCGAATGGTCTGACTGTCTGAGTCAACAGTGGTTGAAAAACCATGGGAGATACAATAATAAATTAGGTTATATTTTTTAAATAAAATAACTATATCTATATTATAATGAATAATAAACAACCACGTAGAGCTAGTCTTAAACCGATTATTTAATTGGGATCAAATCATATACCACATTATATTGAAACAATAGTCAAAATAATACTAATTTATTTTTATGTTAATAAGTTAAACATTTTTAACTAATATTATCTTATTTATTATTTATCATATTTACTATTTCAAACATGAAACATGATAAAAATACAAGAAATAAAAAAAAATTATATATTTCATAAAATGTTTGGTTCATAACATAAATCTATTATGGACAAGTAAGAATGAGAATCAATCTAAAAATTAATCAAGACAAAATCATGGAACCGAAACCGTTATAATTATATTCAGTCAATTTAGCTTCACCGGGATAGACCCAACCCATTGGTTCAGCCCTAATTTTTCTTAAATAAAATAAATAAATACATAAATAAAAGTCTATTGGGATGGGACTGGTATAGGTTATCTCGAACCAGACCTGACCCATTGACAACACTAAATATTGGGCTCAATGGGAGAGAATAATTTGTTAGTAACTTATTTCTAATTATATAAATAATTTAGTAAAATAAATAAACAAATGTTTATTGAAATCTATCTCATAATGTCACATCTCTTTTATTCTATCAATTTAATTTATTAAAATAAATAAATTATTTAATTTTATTAAATAAATAAATGCTTAGATAATAAGAATAAAATAAATAAATGAATAAATAAAAGTTGAGATAGGGAATAGGAGAGAGAGAGAGAGTTGAGAAAGAATTTTATGGCGACAGC